GTTTGTACGGCCCCCACGTGTTTGTATGCATGCCTGACAACGTCGGGGCATCCTCCTAATGAGACGATGGATGGTGTCCTGGGGTATTTCCTCCCAGATCTGGACCAGGGCATCACTGTGCTCCTGGACAGTTTGAGGTGCAAAGCAGTAGTGTTAGATGGACCGAAACATGATATCCCAGAGGTGCTCTATTGGATTTAGGTCAGACGAATGTAGGGGCCATTCAATGGTATCAATTCCTTTATCCTCCAGGAACTGTCTGCATACTCTCCCAACATGAGGCCGGGCATTGTCGTGCACTAGGAGTAACCCAGGATCCACTGCACCAGTGTAGGATCTGACAATGGGTCCAAAGATTTCATCCCTATACCTAATGGCAGTCAGGGTGAACGATGAACGATGTTACAGGTAGCATAACATTCTCCATGGCTTCTCCAGACCCTTTCTCATCTGTCACATGTGCTCAGGGTGAACCTTCTCTCATCTGTGAAAAGCACAGGGCCCCAGTGGTGGACCTGCCAATTATGGTGTTCAGTGGCAAATGCCAGTCGAGCTCTATGGTGCCAGGCAGAGAGCACAGGACCCACTAGAGGATTTTGGGCCCTCAGGCCACCCTTATATAGTCTGTTTCTGATTATTTGGTCAGAGACATTCACACCAGTGGCCTGCTAGAGGTCATTTTGTAGGGCTCCGGCAGTGCTCATCCTTTTCCTCCTTGCACAAAGGAGCAGATACTGGTCCTGCTGATGGGTTAAGGACCTTCTACGGCCCTGTCCAGCTCTCCTAAAGTAACTGCCTGTCTCCTGGAATCTCCTCCATGCTCTTGAGACTGTGCTGGGAGACAAAGCAAACTTTCTGAAAGGTATTGATGTTCCATCCTGGAGGAGTTGGACTGCCTGTGCAACCTTTGTAGGGTCCAGGTATTGCCTTATGCTACCAGTAGTGACACTGACCCTAGCCAAATGCAAACCTAGTGAAAAAATTGGACTCCACCTGTAAAACCATTCCTGTTTTGGGGGGTTGTCTCATTGTTGCCCATCTAGTGCGCCTGTTAATTTCATGAACACCAAAGCAGCTAAAACTCATTAACAACCCCCTCTGCTACTTAACTGACCAGATCAATATCCCAGGAGTTTAATTGACTTGATGCTATACTCTTATTAAAAAGTGTTCCTTTCATTTTTTTGAGCAGTTTATATAAAAACACAACTCTATAAAAATGCCAGCTAACTGAGGGTCTATACATTGTGCATGGACCCTAATGCAGGCCGCAGATGGGTTGAAAATCAGCCGATTTTTCGGCCAAAAAAAAAATCGTCCGATTTTCGCACCATTAATGGGTTAATTGGTCAGCTGTTTTTCTGGATTTTGTCAGATTTTTTGATCGGTAAAGTTGGAAAAAAATTGGCCGATTTTGCCGATCGGCCATTTTCCCAGCAATGATGGGCAAATCGGCCGATCTTCTTACCGATACAAAATCTGCGCATGAGCCATGACCTGCAAGAAAAAGAAGAAGAAGAAGAAGAAAAAAAATAAAAAGAAGAAGAAGAAAAAAATAAGAAGAGAAAGAAGGAGAGGAGAAAGAAGAAGATGAAGAGAAAGAAGAAGGAGAAGAAGAAAAGAAAGAGGAAGAGGAAGAAGAGAAAGAAGAAGAAGAGGAAAAGGAAGAAGAAGAAGAGAAAGAAGAGGAAGAAGAGGAAGAAGGAGAGAAAAATAAAGAAAGAAGAAGAAGAAAGAAAGAAGAAGAAGAAGAAGAAGAAGAGAAAGAAGAAGAAGAGAAAGAAGAAGAAGAAGAGAAAGAAGAAGAATTCCAGTCCGCTATTATATTTGACATTAAAAAGTATTGCGGTTGCAACAATTATCTATTTGTATCCGAAAAAACCCATCTGTATCCGAAATGGATACAAATAGATACAATGTTGCAACCGCTATACTTTTTAATGTCAAATATAATAGCGGGGCTCTCTGCAGGGACAGAAGTAATTAAATGCCGGCCGTAGACAGGAAGAAAATTGACCGATTTTTTTTAACTGTTGGTGGTAACGTCGGCCTATTGAACGACCGATTTTTTTGTTAAAAAAACGGCCGGTTTTCTCACCGTCTATGGCCTGCATAAGAGGTTGATTTACTAAAACTGGAGAGTGCAAAATCTGTTGCAGCTGTGCATGGTAGCCAATTAGCTTCTAACTTTAGCTTGTTCAATTAATCTTTGACAAAAAAAAAACTGGAAGCTGATTGGTTTCTATGCAGAGCTGCATCAGATTTTGCATTCTCCAGTTTTATTAAATCAACCCCTAAATGTCTTTCTGTTGTGGTTGAGAACATTATTGCATGAACATCAGTGTATAATGAAAAACAAATGCATGCATTTAAAAAAAAAACAACAATATGTTCAAAAAACTAAATCAAGATGTATGTTATTATGCAGAACTGCACTACTACACCAAGCAGAGCACTGCAGTGCGCATAGTTGTAACAAAAAAAACCCATCACCAAGCAATCGATAATGAACCATGCCATGACTGCACATTTTAATCTCTTTCAAATGTAACTTTGTAGTTTATGATGATCTGCTGGTGCTTATGTAACAAGACAAAGTTTCACACTAAGAAGACCATAATAAGGCTAGCACATTTTATGTGCACTATGAAATATTTAAAGTTTCTTCTAGTCTCTTAATTCAGTAGCAGCTACTTAATGGTAAAATGATTTGTTGTTTGTAGAAGCCAAAGAATATGACAACACCACCCAGCGTGAATAAAGAGCTTAATAAATTTAAGACAGTGATAATATAAATCCCTTGTCACCATAAACAATACAGCTTCTTTAGCAAAAATCACAGTTTTAACTGTAATAAATATCAGCAGCTAGGAATTGCTAATGTATGAGTGCATGCAAATTTTCTATAGCCAGCTTCCATAATTACCAAATCAATAAATTCTCAGACTTGCCAAGAAAATAGATAAATATGACAATTAATAGTACGTATACCTACCATAGTCAAAAAAGTTGTGGTTTCACTGAAAATCCAATAGCCCATCTCAGGATATAGCTGCTCTACTGCAGTAGTAATATAAAGGTGAAAGACCTTTTAGCACCTAATGTCTGCCCCAGCTCAGTTCCGCTGCTCTGAACTGAAACATTTCTCCTTGGAATTTTCTAATTAAAACTTATCTGCCAAAAGGCCATCACCAGCCTGTCAGAGTCACATGACCAACACACTCATAAAGGTAGTCTATGTCCTATGCCATTCACTTGAGTAAATTAGATGGTTTGTTCATTCAACGTCAATGAAGCAATCTTGGCTTGTTTTTAATTAGCTCTACATGCACATGATCAATTTAAAATATATCCAGAAATAAGCAAACAATTATCAGGTTACCTTTGAAGCATACGCACTATTTTGTCAGCGATCTTTGTAAATTATTTTTAAAAATCAATTTGAATATTATTTAATGAATTATATTAGTAAATACATTGTAAGTCAAAATTTATTCATCTGAAAATGATTTAATATGCAGAAACATGTAAATGTACACTTGTATAGTACCTCTGAGTGGCGTTAGAGCTACCACCATGTGACATGTACCCATAAGGTACCTTTCAGCACAAGTCTCTTAGATTGTAAGCTCCCAGGATCAGGCCCTCCTAACCCTCTTGTATTGTTGATGTATTGTCTCGCATTATATTGTAAAGTGCTGAGAAAACTGTTGGCGCTATATAAATCCTGTATAATAATAATAAGAGCTGGGTCAGGCAGCAACTGTTGTAATGAGTTAGCTGATGGTGCAACCAACAAACTATGAAAAACAAAGCCATGTGCAGACATTAGACATTCTTATCATACATAGTAAAGTACTATCTATGCAATTACTACAATCTCACGTATGCTTTAACATGTTAAGTCATTTTCAGTACTGCTTTCATTAAAGTAACAGGCCCTTATTTAGTTACTTTCAGTTACAGGGAGGCAACACTTTGTTATAGGCTGCCTTTTATGCTCCTGTGTTGTTACCCTGTCACATGGCCATCTGATGAAAACTTCAAGTGGTTGCTTCGATACACATATTATGCAAGCATGGTCTACTGTTGTCACCTTCAGGAAACCTGCCCAGGCAGATGCCACAAGGCCATCATTACAGTGCATTCATATAGACAGTTAGTGGCTGCAAAAAGGCCAGGCAGGCTGCCACAGGCAAGTTGGATTCTTTAGGTTCTTCTGACCTCTGCCATGGGTCATCTTTAAGATCCTTTGAGCCTCTGCCACAGGAAAATGTAGATCCTGTATGCCCAGATGGACAGGTACTGTTCACCTTCCTAGGCTTTTGCCATACGCCAGCTTAGGACTCTTCAGGCCTCTGTCACAGGCCAGCTTTGATCATCTAGGCCCAGACGGGCAACCAGGAGAACAAAAACACAGGGAGACAAAACTGGAACATTCTACTCACAAATCCTCATAATGCAAAGCCTAGGAGGCAAGAACCCTTCTAGAGGACCACTCCAAATATGTATCCTCTTCCCCAGCCCACATCACTAGAATAAGCCATTCAGTGACTGGCCAATATTCATAATCACCTCTGGGTTTTTTATTTCTTCTTAAACAAACCAAAAACCACTGAAAATTTTGAAAAAAAAAAGTTTTTTCTTAGTTTTTGTTATAACATTTTGTAAATAAGTGATTTTGCTCCTTCACTGATGTGCGCTAATGAGGCTGCACTGATGGGCACTGATAGGCTGCACTGATGGACACTGATAGGTGGAACTGATGGGCACCGATGAGGAGGTACTGGTAGGTGGCACTGATGGGCATTGACAAGCATCACTGATGGGCACTGAAAGGCAGCACTCATATATGGCACTGATAGGTGGCACTGATAGGCGGCACTGACTGGAACTGATAGGCGGCACTGACTGGCACTGATATGTGGCACTGATAGGCAGCACTGACGAGCACTGATAGGCAGCGCTGATGCACACTAATAGGCGGCACTGACTGGCACTGATAGGTGGCACTGACTGGCACTGATAGGAGGCACTGATTGGCAGCACTGATAGGTGGCACTGACTGGCATTGATAGGTGGCACTGACTGGCACTGATAGGTGGCACTGAAAGGCAGCTCAGATGGGCACTGATATGTGGCATTGATGTGCACTGGTAGGCACTGAAATGTGGCATTGATGTGGCACTGATAGGCAATGGCAGGTGGCATGGATGAGCACTGACAGCTGGCACTGATGGACACTGACAGGTGGCACTGCTGGGGCTACACAGATCATCAGGGCATGCTGATCATCACTACTCTGATGATCAGTGTACATGTCCCCTCTGAGGGATGCCGATTACCGGTTCTCCTCTCCTCTCAAGCTGTCAGCGTGACAGCTCGTGAGGAGAGAAATGCTGATAACCGGCATTTCCTTATTTACATGCGATCAGCTGTGATTGGACACAGCTGATCACCTGACCGAGCCAACATTGTCGGCTCTTTCCGTTGATCGGTGATCCGCTGTGTCCGAGGGACACAGCGCACCGCTGAACGCCGCGATGTGCGCTCTCAGATCCGTTCATGCGCGGTTAGAGTGGGAGGACGTCATATGACGTCCTCCCAGAACAAGAGAACCGCCTTGTGTCCATCATTTTACTATATGGCGGGCGGGAGGTGGTTAACAACAGCAGGCAGAAGCAATCAACGCTTAGTAGAGGCTTAGAAGAGGCCACAAACACAGAAAGCAAAATCAAAAGCTTTGGCTGGCTACAGCTGAGCAGCAAACAACAATAAAAATGGCTAGACACTCCAGTGTATGGCAGGGTTCCTACACAAATTTAAAATATTGATTATTAAAAACAAATTTTACCAAATTATGGAAACTTAAAGTAGATCTAAAGGCAAAACTTTTTTTCATTTTGGATAGAGTGTGTGGGGGGTTATAACTCCTGTCAGTTTTTGTTTTGTCCATGTGTATTCCATTGGGGAGATTTCCCTTCACTTTCTGTCCTATAGCCAAAGCAGGAAGTGAGAGGAAATCCCTCCGAAGAGAGGGAATCCTGAGTTGTCCCCAGGGTCTCTATAACTTGTGTCCCCATTGGAAGTTTTCCGCTCTATTACTGTTCTAGTGTCAACTCAAAATTGTAATTTTTCTTTTACTTTCACTTTCAATGATAAGGGTAAACAGGGCAAATAGAAAGGGTCAATCTCCCTAACAGGGGCACAGACAGCAAAAATTGACAGGGGTTCTAATCCCTCTCCACTCTATCTAAAACAAAAAAAAAAAGGTTTGCCTATAGTTATACTTTAATCTGAGCTCCCTCCTACAGGTATAAACATTTAAGGTGCCATTTGCAAAACACATTTTTTGAAATTATAGACCTTTCTAAACTACTAAAACTCTTTGGAGTGCCCTTATTTGTTCATATAACATGTAGCACCTAGTCAGCTAGAAGGAGCCAAGTTTAATTGTTAGCGAGGAGGGCAGTGGGCATAGGTAAGAGTGGCTGATCTGCATTTTTGAGGGATCCTGGCCAATCCCCAACAGGAGGCTTGGCATGGGGGCAGGACAGCCCTTAAAAGTGACAGAGCCTACTCAGCAGCAGGAGAGTTCAGGTGGAAGATGGAGGCTGGAGAGCAGGAGCTTGGGGGGGGGGGGGCCCAGATGGAAAGGGGCTCAGCTACAGGCAGAGGCACTGTGGTGTAGGACATTAATTGTAATTAAATTTTTGATCACTAAGTAATGTTTTAAACACTATTCAATGACTTTAGAGTGTAAGCGCAGGACCTCTCTTTAATTTTATGACTGTATGCACAGTGTTGCGGTACTCTGAGAATCCTTGCTAGGAATTCCAGAACTTCTCCTTTCAGAATCTTCGCCAGGATTTCCAGTCCAGAGTTCTCTGAAATGAACCTAAACGTGTCCTCTTACCAAAAGGGTGTTTAAGCTCCAGAAGTGGCTAATAATGTGCCTCATCACCAAATATCTGAGAGCTATAATACCTGCCTGCCAGTGGCCTGTATGTTGCACACCTGGATTGATCTAAATACTCTCTTGCCTGCTGCCTGCACGGGCCCCTATCCCAACCTGAATACTTTCTCCTCACTAGCACTGTGAACAGTCTCTGCACTGTAGCCTCTCCATTTCAACCACTCACTTGGTGAGGCAATCCTTGGTGTCAGTTTGCAGAAAATGTAACACAACCACTGGGATTCCTGACCCATCTTCACCATGAGGACACCATGGTGAACACCAGCTGAAACTTCCTGATGTTTCAGGGCCAACAGGATCTTTTGCCTAATGCCTTTATTTCTGTAAAGAGGACATGGAGCAGGCTTCCAGGGGTATGCTTTACCCCTCCCAAACCCAGGGAGTTGTATGTGGGTGGGGTGCGATTGCTGAGGACACCATTGTGTTCAGTGACACAAAGGACTCAAAGTTCTCTGGCGCTAGAAATTTGTTATGAATGGGCTCATTCATTCTGCAGTGTTGCTAGAATTCAGTCCATGAAAAAATGAATCATTATTGGTTGTCCACCATTTTGGATCTCCAATACAAGGGGAAAATACAGGAAAATACTAGATCTCTTTTGCATCCCAGAGGGCGCAAAATTTCACCACATGAAAGAGGCTGCAGAAGAACCTCTTGGTAACTTTTCCAGAAAACGGCAGGATGCCCTTTCATGGCCAGCATGTCTTAGATCCTCTGGTCTTTAGAGGAGAAGCAGACTGCATCAGTCAGGCCTGGCTGCAAGCAAAATGTGCAGATAAACTGTATTACCTCGAACTATCTAGAGTCCATAGCAGATGAGAAAAACTTTGATCTGAGAACAACATTGACTTTTGGGTGTCCAGGCTGGACAACTGGCCAGAGCTTGCCTAGTATGCAATTGAGCTGGCTTGTCCTGCAGCCAGTGTTCTGTCAGGTAAGTCATTTAGCATAGTGGGCAATTTGATGCCAGATAAACTAATCCATCTGTCTCCTGGCACAGTTGACCAGCTCATGTTTATAAAAATGAATCAGTCCTGGATCAGCAATGAGTACAAAACCCCTGCAGTTGATGATAACAAAAACATTTTTTACTTGTAATCTGGACCTAAAAACATTATTACACTATACAACATTGCCATCTCCTGCCTTCGCTGCTAGCCTGCCTCCATTATAACCTTTTACCACCATCACCATCTCATTCTACCACTGCTGTCCTGCCCCCATAACTATCTCCTGCCATCACTGCTGGCCTTCAGCTATTACAGCTCCTTCCACCACTGCTGGCCTGCCACAAGCCTCTCCTGCCACAGCTTCTGGCCTGCCATAGTTACCGTCTCACTCTGCTTCTACTGCCCTATTATCAGGAATGCAGGCATCCAGCAAGGGTGATGTGAATGAATGAACTACAAGTCCCAACAGCCTTTGCAGCTGTTGGATTGTAGTTCTCAATGAACTACCACGGCACTGTTGAGCTCTGTGGTAGTTATCGGAGTCTTCTTGTCAGACCGTATCTGTTAGTCCATACAGGATGTATGGGCAAGCATATATACTGACAGTTTGCAGGACTCCTGCATGGCACCAGAGATCTGCTGATCGCTGGTGCAACACTTTCCAGGCTCCAGAACGAAAAAAAAAAGTAAATGCACATTTTTTTACCTGCAAAAAATTGGGCATTTATTTTTTGTTTTTTAAATGGTGAACTTATCTTTTAAACATCCGCAGCTACAGCCCAGACATGCTTACCCCATTACTTATTAGTCATCTATAGGAGGAAGAATAAAGCCTTAGATTGGTGTCACACCAGAGATTCCATATGACCACAGGAGGTACAAATGAACCAGACTGTAATAATCATACAACCATGTGTTGGATAAAGTACACTGCTCACAAAATTAAAGGAAAAATTTTTAATCAAAGTATAGCATCAAGTCAATTAAACTCCTGGATATTGATCTGGTCAATTAAATAGCATCAGGGGTTGTTAATCAGTTTCAGCTGCTTTGGTTTCAATGAAATTAACACCAGGTGTACTAGATGGGCAACAATGAGTTGACCTCCAAAATGGGAATGATTTTACAGGTGGAGGCCACTGACATTTTTTTTCCCTACTCATCTTTTCTGACTGTTTTTCACTAGTTTTGCATTTGGCTAGGGTCAGTGTCACTACTGGTAGCATGAGGCGATACCTGGACCCTACATAGGTTGCACAGGCAGTCCAACTCCTCCAGGATGACACATCAATACGTGCCATTGCCAGAAGGTTTACTGTGTCTCCCAGCACAGTCTGAAGAGCATGGAGGAGATTTCAGGAGACATGCAGTTACTTTAGAAGAGCTGGACAGGGCCGTAGAAGGTCCTTAACCCATCAGCAGGACCGGTATCTGCTCCTTTGTGCAAGAAGGAACAGGATGAGCACTGCCAGAGCCCTACAAAATGACCTCCAGCAGACCACTGGTGTGAATGTCTCTGACCAAACAATCAGAAACAAACTTCATGAGGGTGGAATGAGGGCCCAATGTCCTCTAGTGGGCCATGTGCTCACTGCCGAGCATCATAGAGCTCAAATGGCATTTGCCATTGAACACCAGAATTGGTAGGTCCGCCACTAGCACCCTGTGCTTTTCACAGATGACAGCAGGTTCACCCTGAGCACATGTTACAGATGTGAAAGGGTTTGGAGAAGCCATGGAGAACATTATGCTGCCTGTAACATCATTCAGCATGACCATTTTGGTGGTGAGTCAGTGATGTCGGGGAAGCATAGCCATGGAGGGACACACAGACCTTTACAGGCTAGACAATGGGACCCTGACTGCAATTAATTATCAGGCTTAAATCCTTGGACCCATTGTCAGACCCTATGCTGGTGCAGTGGGTCCTGGGTTCCTCCTGGTGCACGGCAATGCTCAGCCTCATGTAGCAGGAGTATGCAGGCAGTTCCTTCAGGATGAACGAATTGATATCATTGAATGGCCTCCATGCTAACCTGACCTAAATCCAATAGAACACCTCTGGGATATCATGTTTCGGTCCATCTGATGCTGCCAGGTTGCACCTGAGACTGTCCAGGGGCTCAGTGATGCCTTGGTCCAAATCTGGAAGGAAATACCCCAGGACACCATCTGTCGTCTCATGTAGTCAGGCATGCATACAAGCACGTGGGGCCATACAAACTACCGAGTACCATTCTGAGTTGCTGCAATGAAATTTTAGCAAAATGGACTAGCCTGCTGCATCATTTTTTCACTTTTTTCGGGGTGTCTTTGAATTCAGTTCTCTGTAGGTTAATAATTTTAATTTCCATCAAATGATGGGGCATACTTATGTTCCTAAAACATTACCTAGTTCATATCAGTACAGATATCCAGCATGCTACTGACCGTGTTTTCAAAGCGTTCCTTTAATTTTTTTGAGCACTGTATGTACTGAAAATAAAATTGTGAAATCCCTACTCTAAGTTCTTTACTTACATGGTATATAAGAAAAAAACCACAAGAGGGCACCCCTTCACAAGGAAGACCAGT